TTAATGCATTTATGCCACAGTTGTAAGTTTAGCTTCCTGTCCAGGGATTGTACTGCCCGGGACGTGCAGTCCTTGGGAAGGGGGCAGTGTTACGAATTTGGTATTTAAAAAGCTAATGTTAGTTCAATTACAAATTAAATGATTTTATTTCTCGCGCAGTGCAGCGCGTGACGAATATTAAAAGAAAGCTAAGCCGTAAAATTGAAAATACAAGAGCGCGTGCATTAAATAAATAAATATCTCTTTTTTGATTTCGAGAAAGTACTGGAAAATTCTAGTGCGTGATTTTAAAATCTTATAAAAGGAGGAAAACATCTCAGTTTGTAGTAGTTGCTTAGTTTGTTGTTGTTTAGAAAACTGCTGTTGTTGATTGTAGCGAATTCGCGGATTAGCGTTCTTTAGCTGTTTTGAATTACGTTCTATTGGACATTTGAGTAGTTAAAAGATAACTACTGTGAGATATTGTAATACTGCATGATAATTTGAGAAAATTTAAGCATTTTTGTTGTGATAATAATAAATTTTTGTTCATTTTTCATCGGACTTGTGCATTCATTTCATAACGAACCCGTACGCACGCAACAATATTTTCTGAATTCTTGCAATAGAAGTCCGAGTTCGGTAAAGGATGTGAAAGAACGTCTGAACAACTTGATGTTATTTCTCAAGGGCGAAGTAGAGGGAGGGTAAAGAAAATTTTTGACAATGCCGGGCTTTGGCTTAACTAAAGATGAAGATACGAAGATGTTTATAAAAAGAAATACAATTTGAAATCTGATGCAAGCATGCCAGTGCTGACTATTTCAGTGCTCAAAAACCGACTCTGAAGGGCAGAAGAGCGTAAAAAGGATAAGAAACACTCTTTTGCTTCTCTCGTTGCTGGTCATTTAGTTCAAAAGTGTCGCATTTGTTTTTAATGTTGCATTTCTGCCATAAAATTCGTTCCTTTAATGGGCGATCAACTGCAGACTTAAGAGACTCCTAAGAGATATTTCAGAAGAGATGAAATATCCTGTAAATCGTCAAGAGACAATGAAAAACTATTTGATTGGACGTGTTTCTACTAAAGAATATAAGAGAAACTTTACAAAATAAAGTTAAAAGAACTAAATGGGAATTTTACTTGTAATTCTTAAGTCTTGGACCAAGATATTGTATGTCAAAGTAAACTGTGAATGACTAAACGCCCATGGCTGGAGGACCTGAAAGACTTACATATTGTTTTAACAGGTAATAACCATTTTTATGGATCTATCATGTCCTCACTGGAGCAGATATTAATGGTAGATTTTTGATAAAACTACAGAAAAAACTACAGAAAAATATTATCCTCAGATTTAGTTGCAGTCGAAAGACTCCTCGGATGGATATTAATGAGTAAAATCACATGTGTTCTAAGAGTAAACTTTTCAGTGAATATAACATTACTGTGAATTGAATGGAAATTGCAAATTTGCGGAGATTAGATATCTTCGGAATTGATTATCGTTTGGAGAAGAAGTCATCGTTACGAAGTTTGTCTCCCCTGGACTGAGAATATTTCTCCTTTCACGGACAACATTAACTTAGCTCAGTAAAGACTCGAAATGACAGCTACAAAACTCCTGTCCCAGAAATTGTATCACAAATTTAGAAACTACACAGCAACACAGCTTTTGTCACTCTGATGGTGGGAAGGTCTACAATGGTTGACTGAACCTATTGATTTTTGGAACTGTAGATGCGTCTTGAATGAAGACCTTAAAGAAGGAGTAATATAAAATGAGAAGATAAAATTTACAAAATCTTTAGCTAACTTTAAAAGTATTATCCAACGTAATTGAATCTAATCGTACTTCTCAAAGTAATCACCAGAAGTTCATTTAGTGGGTTGTAGCTAATTTTAACATTTGGAAGTCATTTAGTAGTTAATTTTAACATTTGGAAATAATTGTCTCTGCGGAAGAGAAAAAAGAAACGAAAGAGAACCCATTTCTTCTGAATTTCAGAAAACAGAGTTGAAATTAGTACAGAGGATTCTACAAGAGAATTCCAAATGAGAAGAAGATAAAAGTTCAAACAAATTGCTACTTACCTAGATGAAACTGAAAACATTACCCATCAAGATACGAACTGCCAGTAGAAAAAGACAAACATTTCGAACGCCAGTGATTCAACCTTCATATAACGAAGCTGTACTAAAGCTCGCTGAAAACTATCAGAAGAATAATTTACATTTTGGCCTTCAAATTTTGCATAATATAGTACGCAAAATGTTTTGGATTTTAAACGAGAGAAAAAAAAATATCAATTGCGTCATTTGAAAGAGGTTCATTTCCAACAAGCTAAAAGCTGATCCTGGACCATTACCAGCAAACCGTGTTCGGCCCACTGAAAATCACAGGACTGGACACAGCTGGACAATTATATCGTAGAGAAATTCAGAAAGCATGGGTACGGTTGTTTCGCGCCGCCATTTACCGGATAGTATATATATAACCTTTCACCGGTTTATCTACTGAGGCATTTATGACTATTTTAGATTTATTTCTTGACGATGAAGATGTTCCACTATTTATTATAACAACGGCACCAGTTTCATCGGTGCTGATAATCTGTTTCGTTTCTTGGTTTGGAATGACATTTTAACATATACCACTACCACGAACGATAACTACGAACGATATTGACAGGAAGTTCAACTTATAAGGTATTTCTCCAGCTTTTTAGCATGCTTTCGTAGTGTAGTGGCCAGCATGCTCGGCGCGTAATCGAGAGGTCCGTGGTTCGAGTCCCGGCGAGGTCATTGCTCATTTTTCTCATCTCCTACTACAAAAATAATCTAATGACTCTACAAACTCAACAATTGCATCCTGGTGCGGAGGGTGATGAAAGCGTTTGGTTGGAATGATAATGGACCTCTTATAAAGGGCCTTAGGTCGAGTAGATCTGTTTTATGAAGAAATGGTGACAGTGCGTTTTCACTGTGCGTTAATTTAATTCTCAACCTTTCACCTACCAATCTAATGGCGAAAACAAAGCTCTTATACCATCTTCACTTTGCCAATAAAACATCAAGGAATGGAATACACCGGATGTTCATACTGTCGACCATTAGAGCTTAAACCAAGGCTCAAACATAGATAAAATTTTCAAAGCGATTTGAGAAGTCAGTTGAGACGTGAATAATTAGGACTTCTCGTTCAAAGAGATAAAGTCAAAATGCTTCTAAAATAGCTGCTGGTGATATCAGTTAACTAGAACTGACAGCAGTAAAAAAGTCAATTGTAAACTGAGAGAAAAAAATATTTCTGGAAAGGATGGACATGTTCTACTTGTAAAAATACAAATATCCCATTTGAAATTACTCAGTCCAGTTCAACATGTGTATCCTTTAGAGATTTCATTCATTAATAATAGCCTGAAAGACTAAATGTAAGTTGTATTTATAATAAAGACTCGGTTGACAATTGCAGTATCTTGAAATGTGAAACGAAAATATCTAGATCAGATAGAAAGATAAAGGTTTCTGACAAACTAGATTTGTAAAAGTTATTTATCCTATGTGTTCTTCTCATTTTTGCCATTTTTAAAAATGTTGCCGCTGTGTATTTGTATTCAACATGATGTAAAATCATAATGTAGAATGTTCTGATTATGATATATAATCAGAAAATTTAAGCTTAAATTAATGTTTTCGTCTGCTTGTTAAGCACTTACTTATTTTAATATAAATATGTTAGGCTTATATAAATACAAACGATATGTTATTAATACAGTTTGTGAGCGTCAGCAATATATTTTCATTTTATTGTTGTTCTGAAAGAGTGCGATATTCTCTCAAATTACCTGGAAGAATATATGCTAAAAATAGAAACGTTATTTTCTGAGAAAACTTGCTGTGTAATGTTTCTTTATTAATGCCTTTGGGGAGCCTGAGGCTCACAATAGTTTAATAGCTGAGAATTCACTGAATTTACGGATTGCATCTCACAAATACATTTATTATTCAAAGTGAAAAGCTGAAAATGTCGTGGATTGTCTGCATCATACCGATGACAGTTAGAACTGCGTTTTTATGGCATACTAATTCATCATAATTCACCTGAGTTTTCTGCAATACCTTTCTGAATGTCAATCCAAAATTAAGAAATGTAATTGAAATATATCATGTTTTTCGATATTTCGACCTGTTATATGAATTTTAGAGATTTTTAAAATTTGCTGGTTTTGGATACCTCTGATATAAATAATATAAAATAGAGAAATCATCCCAAAATTAACATCCTGAAGGAAATCATCAAAATACTTTCAAATCTAACAAAATTTGAATCGAATATGCCAGCTAAATTGCAACTGTATTTCAAAATATACAGAAATAACCTTCAAATGTTCTAAGCGTTACCATTAATAGACACATGGTATAGCATACAAAAAAAGCATATTTATTCCATTAAGGTATAAGGTATGAACCTTGACATGTGTAATAGCAAAATATTCTACGAAGTATTTAAATTTTTATGTGTATAAAAATTATCTTTCGCACTTCAGCGCCTTTTTAACTACGACTATGTCATCGCTCCTGAATTTCATTCACATCGTGTAGGCTGCCAATGAATTCACCATCATAATTATTCGATATATAAAAAGCGGTCGAACACGTATTTTTTGATTACATATTCTCTTATTATAATTAAACCTAACGGAAGGTTTACCTCTATTAATCTAAGTTAAAATCATCATTTAGTATGTTAGACATTGTTTTCGGCTTCTGTATTCTGATAATGTTTATCATTTTGTGAAATCATTCTCAGTAATGTTTATCATTCGCAGTAACTAATTTTAAATACTAATGCGACCATTAGTGACCCACCGTTGGTGTTAAAAAGTATTATTAATGACGTATGCTTAAATGGTGTCAGATCTTATCCATAGAAACCAAATTTTATTCTGTTTTAATTTATATGTTCCTGTTCGTTGGAAGTACGAATTTTGTGACATTTATATACTTGAATACTTACTTGGAATAGAAGTTTCAACAACCAGTGTCTTGTATTAGCAGCTATTGAAAGCTATACTGGTAAAAACAATTGCTGCATACTCCAAAACGAAATTCAGGTGAACTGGGGCCTGAAATATACAATAATATATTGGACACGCATGATAATTTTAAAACAACTTAATACACGGAAATGTTTTTGTACAGAGCTGTTCCGTACAATTATAGGATTAGGTCTGTTTATGAAGATCTGTTTAACTAACTTTGCAGTGCTCCCTTTCAACTTTAGCTTAAAAGTTGAAAGGGAGCACTGCAAAGTTAGTTAAACAGATCTTCATAAACAGACCTAATCCTAAGCAACGACCTAAAGCAACGAACTAACTAAACTGGTATAGTGAGTAATTTCCTAGGAGAATAACACGGGATTGTAATCACTTTCTTATAGAATATAGTGGCAAACAATGGTGAGCTAGATGATATGTACAACGTTGTAGTAAAGTCATAGAATGTCGAAAGTGAATTTGAAAAATAAGCTATTGAAACAGAAGAGTGATATATAAATAATCATGCAATAAGCAATACAGTTATAAAAATGTATTTAAGGATACAGAAAACACTAGGTTAAATATTGATTCTGAAGACCGTCAATACAAACTCTAACAATATAAATAAAATACAATTTTTAATATAAGAGTAGAATGCTAAAACTAACAAAAAGTAGTCTAACAGTATTTAAATAAAAACTAGCTATAGATTCACAAAATACATAAAGAGCGCTATGTTTAGGGCCCTTATGTATTATTTCGAGAGAAGGTTTTCAAAATGTTTTATTTAACCATATGAATAATTAAAATGCTTATATATCGTGTTGTGAAAATGTTAATTTGGATATTGTCCTTTTCAGAACAGTTTTGGCTAGAAGCTTTAGCATGATTAGAAAAATGTTTTACAGATGTCTGAACTGTGCAGTTCACAAAGAATCCATAATGACTTAAAACTAATAAAGTTCGTTTATATTTCGAGAAAATCTGTCACCAAGTGTGACAAACGTAGGAGTCATACCCAAGTACGAATCACACTTAGCATGATGCTAAAACGTTAAGCTCTATCCTAAAGCTAAGATGTTATCTGGCGTAGATCCGATAATTAACTAATATAAAAATTGCTGAAAATTTTCATACTGTTAATGAGTGTGATACGTTATAAAAGTAGTGCGGAGAGGCGCAAACTTATGCACTTTGAATCACATACACTTTATACACTCTGAATCAGATACATAAAAGCATACTACAGATCTAATTCCAAATATTAACGCTGAGGAACTGCTGAAGACATGAATTGATAGTGCATGTAGAGTAAATAGTTTGTTGTAGGTAATAAAAGCATATGCAGTCAGTAAAATTAAAATTTGTGAAAATTACAGGAGTAGCCTCACACTTAGATAAATAAGAATATAAATGCATTGCGGCTGTTTTGTACACAGAAATATGTGTGATACGGGAGAAAGGATAGCGGCTTTGTTACACAGTCGAAGCTTTACAGTATCTTGTGTATTCTAGATTTTTGGTCACCAAGTGTGACAAACTTAGGAGTCATAGGAATCTCACTTGGACATGATGCCAAAGCATTAAGCTCTATCCTAAAGCAGAGACGTGATCTGGCGTGTATCCGACAATTAACTAACATAAAAACATTTGAAAGTTTTATTTGCGTGTTATCACGTATTGTTTGGTACTTTTTTGGTACTGAACCATGAAATTTGACGGAGAACCCGCCAAAGCTGTACCACACGTTTCTCCGAAATTCTGAAAGAAATGATACCTCTTTCTTTAATAAACAGTCGGTAGTTGACTCGCTGCATAAAAAACTACCATTGATTTATACAATTTTTAATAGGTCCTCCTATTTTACCAGAAGCTTTATCTAGAAACTTTATCCTATTTTACCAGAAGCTTTATCTAGAAACTTTATCCTATTTTACCAGAAGCTTTATCTAGAAACACTAGGAATCTAAACTTCTCGCAGATATTTGTTCAAACGTATGAGTGTTTTGTCAATCATATTCAAGTGCCCTTTGTTATATGTACTTTTTTAATAAAAGAATTAGATACTTTGAAAATAATCCACTATTTGCTGTTCTCCTAAAGGGCAAACCCTAAATTATATATTTTTTTCAATATGCAAAAAAAGATACAGAACACAGTAAATTTATAACTTTGTTCATAAAAACAAAACTTAGCTTATCGAGAATCAATCACTATCCTCGAAAGCCCAGACTGTTATAACCTTACGATTACCCATAACTGGCGCTAAATCGAGCTGCTTGTCAATAGCTTCACAGTAGTCGGGATAGTAAGTAAGTTCCTTTTTTTAAATCGGTGTTTGGTTGGCACAGTTTGAGTTCTTATGCAACGAGCTTCTTCATGACATATTTCAATTTTGCAGTCAGTTTTTGCTTGCCAAGGACAGATATGAGAAATGTATTCACTAAGGTGCTTGGTATTGTGAGTTTCAGTGAAAGTAGACAATAAGAAAGTATAGTGATCTTGCCCTTCATAGTACTCTATTGTGGTCTTTCTCTGCATACGCATATATCCATTACACTAAGGTCACGTGCATGGAAATGTGAGCGAAAACGGCCTGTTGAAAATAATATTAGTTTTAATTCAAATGGTCTTGTCTGAACTGATAAGTCTGATTCTTAAATGAAAACTATACGGAGCAGTAACTCAACTTGTATTTGACGATTTCAGAAACTCAGTTTGCAAAAGCAATCTGATTGCACAGATCAGGAAATCTCCCATTTGTATCTTAGACAGATATCAGGCACTCTTAGTTCTTCACATTATTTTGGAAAAAAAAATTAATATTCATTGATTTATATGTCACTGATTTTTACGTATCATTCAAACATCAGAAAGTTTTCATGTAATTATAAATGTATATTTTCTTCAACATTTTCTGATAACCATTACAATGAATTTCTTTATGTATTTTTGGTTCAAACGCAAATTTTTGCTGTACCAGTGTGAATATGTTTTTTGAAAGATTGAGATTCTTGATTCTCCGGAAAGTTTTATTAGCGTCTTCATAGGTACACTATGTTCGCCATTTCTTTCTCTAGCATTGCAACATTATCTTTTCTTCAATTTACTAGAAACTTCTACTAGAATCTCTTTCACTAATTTCATCACTAACGATTCTCAAAGTTGCATTTCTTTATTCTCTTTTATTTTCATTCTTCCCGCTAACTCACTCTCAGCATCATTAATTTAATATCATTTGCTATCCTTTGCAATATTGCTCTTTGGTACTGTTAGAAACAGCTGTTCTCTCACAAACTGAAATCATGAATAATAGATGTTTGCGTAGAGAATTGTAAGTTTAATTTTGTTTAAGAAATTCAAAAGGTTTCATTAGCGAGATCATTGTAAAATAATATGATTTACTTTTACTGCTCTCTTCAATTTTGCTCCATTTATTTTTCTACTGTTTAATACAACTTGCACATTCAAATACATATGTTGTCCTTATAGTTTATATTTAACTAGTAATTATATAAGGAATTCGAATTCGTTTAAAATAAAACTACTTTTATTTGAAGTCCCAAATTATTATTATTTAAACAAGCTTAGCAGCCGAAAGAAAATCTTGTATAGTAAAATATGAAATTCTTACAGAAATGTATGAGAGTTAACTGAATCCTCTCCAAACACATAATCGTACAAAATATGCTCTAAATTACTCCTTCACTGATTTATTCCTGTAACATTAACTTTTCTTAATGCTTTACAAAATTCAGATATAAAGGAAAATACATATTAATATTTTCATCGTTGTATATATAAATACATACAAAATACTACCGTAACTTTCCCTGCCAGCAGTAACGTTTTTGAATTATTACAGTTCACATTTTTCTTAAATTGCAAATAAACGTCACTTCCTAATATATCATAAAACTTTTATACATATTACCAACCAGACGGTATAGTGATTAGGGGAGTGACTGCGATGCCGAAAGGCTCGAATTTAAATCCCGGAGAAGGCATGGATGTAATTTGTCTGTCCCCCTCATAGGAGGTAACGGTGGCTGTCTATTAGGTGCCTCCATAATAAATTGGCTTCCACTTCTGGCCTTAGTAGTAGCGAAAACCAAAAAATGGCTAGTGTCCGTTTAATAAAAATTGTACATATTTCAGTTTAACCCTTAAACACAGATGTGCGGTCTGTATGACCGTGCCAATATTTTACGACTTCGAAACTGCTTATAAGCTATGCAGTTATTCTTCTTTTCAGTACTTTCACGTTGACATAAAATATAACTATTTCTCTCTCCATTAGTTTTCTTTTCTTTCTTTTTTTTTAATAATTTTTAAAATTGGGCCGCCGTCATACAGACCTCACATCTGCGCTGACGTTACTTTTTTCTCGCATGAGGGGGAGATGGCTTTATTACTACTTGAGTGTCGAACTTGTACAATAACGTAACTCTAGAGGTTTGACGTATGTCGGTACTATGCAAAATTTAAGAGATAAATACCAGGAAAATATTCTCCAAATAAAATGAAAAGTGAATGATCTTCCCTTTATGCATTCAACAGATAATGCGTGTCTCAAAAATTAAAAAGTGTTATTCTCATTTCTTCAATGCATCATTAGAAATCAGTAGACCTTGAAACTGGGAAACCAGAAATAATAACATTTTACAGTTTGACTAAAGGAGGTGTAAATGCATTGGATAAAAAATGTTCTAAAATTCTACAAGCTCAAGAACAAGGCGATGGCCAATGGTCATATTCTTTAGGTTACTTAATGTAAGTGGAAGTAATGCACATGTAATACATCAATCGTTAAGGGCTGGTGCCAAATTCGAAAAAACTGATTTTTTGATGCAGTTATCTGATAACTGTTATTATGAGAATTAGTGAAACCACATTTGGAACGGAGGCTTTAAAAGCCAATTGTGAACCGAGAAATAAAAATGTGCATTCAGAGAGTGCTAGGATTTTCCAGGGAATCTATTCTAGCCCAGGTGTAACTGATACTCTTAAAAAGCGTAAAACATGCTTTTTTTGTCCCTCTAGACTGAGAAGAAAAATTGCCTGTCTGTTTCAGCTTCGAAAATCCGATATGTAATGAATGTGCCAAGAGAATTTGCAAAAATTGTGTTGAAAATGCTTAAAATAACGTGCTGCAGTTTTTTTAATATTCCTTATATATTACTTCGCCTTTCACAGAATTGGTCATTCAGATGCTATTTTTTTGACAAAGATTCAGCAGTATTCGAATGGAAGAAAGCTATTATACGCCTGATGTACGGGGCTGCAAATGGCAATGCCGTAGAAGCAGTAAGACTGTACCAGGAGCGATTTCTGAACTGGGAGCTGCCCGATCGGAGAACACTTCAAGCGCTTGCACAGGCAACTTTTGGAGACGAACTTGTTCCGCGGTCAGTGACATGATACAGATAGACAAGGAGCACGAGAGCAACAAATCTAATAGAGACAATCCTTGAGGCAGTGAAGATGGACCTGAACGAAGCGCATCAGCACTACCTTGTGATTAAGTTATCAACCATATGACGGTAAATGCCTGAAGAAAAAGGGTCTCCCTTACCATTTCCAGTGAGTCCAGACCTTAAATTAAACGGACTTTTTTTACAACGTGTAAAATTTGCACGTTGGTTCCTGACACAGAACATAACTGCATAGAGAGTTTGCAGTATCTGTCCTGTTTACGGACGAAGCTACGTTTTTGAATCCGTTATGCCAGTTACGGTTTTTGAGTGAGCTCAGTTTTCAATTTAATTCTCTTTTCGATTTGTTTGCGTTTTAAATTTCAATTTGGCTGTTACTTTAGTTACATAGCCACATGTGGTGGTTCATTCTGTTAGCATATGAAGGACATTTATGTACAAAGTCTATGTTTAAATAAAAATGTTTATTTTAAATATTTCCAAGACTTTGCCATTAATTTCAGGAATAGCGATAATTCGCTTTCCGTCTGTTAAGGAGTTTGGAACTAGTTAATGCTCCCAAAGCAAACCAAACTCTATAATTATAAATATATATTTCAGTTAGTTTTTCCAGTTTTGTTGTGGAACATGATTGTAAATATAAATGTGATGTTTAAATGTATCATTATCACACAGTGTGACGTTTAATAGACTTTTTTAACAACTCCCTATTATCAGACATTTTCACGTTTAACCAATGTTCTGCTTGCCCATTTATGCGAGACAAGCGAAACTGTACTATACTTGCTAATGATTCTGAAAATTATGATTAAAATGTTGTAAAGCGTACACCGTGTTTACTCTCATACCTCCTCTAACTATTAATTTTCCCACTTGAAAACTGGGAGTGGAAAATTATGCGGTATGTACTGTTTCTGAATAGACGGCTTAAACACAGCACATTAAAAAGGACTCATAAAGACAGATTAATATTATTAAAGTATGTGTTTCAAAGGATTTATCTATTTCAATGACATTCTTTGTTTATATACAAAATGTTTTATGTACGCATTTTCCATTGTTAACATAAATCCGAAGCAGCCAACCGCTAGCTATTTTATATATTTTTTTCCGGCCTGAACATTCTTTCAGAAATTGATGTATAACATTTTGGTATATAGTATATTCTTGTTTACTGCTTCAACATAAAGCTTCTGATCTCTTTTGTTTATCGCTTTAGGATCATTTTTTCCTTCATAAGGATTCGGAGTTTATGTCAAATAAAATTAAATTCTTCTATCCATTTAATCCCATATGTGTTACCTAAAGAAAATATGTGTGTTTTATTTACGGACGGAAAACGAACTTAGCAGAACTATTAGGCATACGCACTTTAGAACAATTAGTTTTACGGCTTTCGCTCCTAACTTAATTTCTGAAGGGCAAAAATCAAATCTGTTCTTTATTAATATGTGAAAGATGCCAGTTAATGGGTGTTAGCATCAATGTATAAGTCCCTCAAGATGTTTGCTGCTGAAAGACAGACATATATAGTCTACATGTCATAACAGCTCTCATTTTTTAATATTTACTTCAATTTTGTAGTGATGAAAATGTAAAATGAAATAGACCTTTCGTAGCGTTTGCAAGTAAAATGTTTCAAAGTGCAGAAAATGCAGCAAAAATTCCTTCTAAATTTGGTCTAGCAGTGACCGAGGAGACTAATGAATATTAGTAGTTCCAGCAGGTTCGAACTCAGGCGAACGTCCTGTCTGCATGAGTCGTGCTTGCTTTTCTACATGCATAAATTGAATATGAGTCAATTTCCCACAGAAAATTCTTACACGAAGGTATCCAGCCATGCTTTTCTGTATTCAAATAAACTAACCTAACCGAATTTTAATTCGAAGTTTTCTATGCTAATAAATTATCGACTAAGTAAATCAACTAAGGTATTTTAAATATATTTATTGATTAAATATTTGTGTGACATTAAATAACTGCTTGGTGAATATGCACCTTATATATTTTATGCAATACGTTCAGATTTATCCCGAGTAAAAACAGGTAGATAAAAATTTCGTACAGATATGAACGCTATGGAAATGCGAACATACTTCCCATTTAGAAATTTCATACTGATAAGTATGAAATTAAACGCACATTTTGTAGCTTACATGAAGTTTTGCATAAATTGCAAAGTATTCTGTTAAAAAGAATAAATATTGAATATTATTCAAATGAATAATTAACTTACAGTAAGGTAGACAAATGTGTCCATTTGGAATCTTTTCTCTTTTATTGAAGTACTCCATATCACAACGTACAGGATGGCTAATTTTGTGAGAAGATGAATTTTCAGTACACTGCCATTTTTTCTTAGGATGAACGCAATGCCAAGGGTCCCAGCCGCCACAGTGTAATGATATAGGGCAAGTTCTTGTAAGCATCGGGCCTGGTGTAGGCGTAGAAAGCCCTGAAAGAACATATATTCAAGTACATTTATATTATAAATGCAATAGAAAAATCAAAGCATCACAGTAAATTTCAGTGTACATGCCAAATGCCTTGAACCATGTACTCGGTAATTCTATGAAAGACTTGTTACTGAGATGTAGAAAAATATGATTATTTATCTGGCAGACGTAACTTCAAGAACTTCGTAATACATTTATGAATCTCTTAAGACTATCGCTGATATTAAAGTAAAAATAAAATATTAATTTTCAAAAGTCTTAGAAACTTTTTCAGCTAAACAGTATTTGCTTCAAGTCTTGAAAAGAAGGAATTTTTCAAACAAAGGTAAATGTAACAATTGATTCCAGTTATTTAAATACACTGAACATAAGGACTGTAAGCGTAAATACAGAATTAATATTAATTTTAATCATTCTGTTCATGAAATTCCATGTAGATAAAATTTAGATTTATTTAATTGTTATATTATTATTTTAGATGTTATATTGATTTATCTCATTTTCTTGACAATAACGCCAAACCAAATCCAGGATTTTTATCGTAATCAAGAACCCAGAGAGGCACCTATCGATGATTTAGTCCCAGTTTTGTACGAGAACTCCCCAAGAGACAGAACCAAGGGTATAACTTCCATTTCTCTTTCGAGAGAACATTCGACTCGCTAATGCTTTAATGTCTTCATGCAGCAAATACACTACACACTTACACTGAACAATTTCCTTCTTCGAGATTGTAGCCCGAATCTAAGGCAATGATGACTAATCTTCTGCAACCATGTCAAAAGAACTGCTATTCTTAGGTTCAAGAACTTCTAAGGTTGTAAACTAAATTTTAGACAATTACTATATCTTATCCTTTATTGTTTTTAGGTATATTTTAATCGATTGTTTCAATTATAATAACAGTCTTTCAATCATCTTTTCCAATTAATGAAAGTATAGTCCGAGCGGTAAATCACTGAGCGCTACTGGTTCGACTCGTGTCAATACTCGGGCGAAAGGGATGGGTGTTTCTCATGTGTAACGTAAATATGAATGAGTTTCTCTTAAGAAATGTACTAGTTTATGAAAGTTTCTCCTTCTTAGATAGATAGCCATCGAACGCTTTATCATGATCAAAACAATCCAGTTTATGTTAGGATACCTGACATCTTAAACATATAAAATTTTAAAATCTGTTTTTATGCTTTATATGTTTCCCTGCAGAAAACGCACGATAATATTTAATGGAAATTTAAAGTTCTCTAGTATCATTATTGCATTTTATTCGTAATAATTTAGTTGTTTGGAAACGAATCATTAGTTCATTATTATATCTAAAATTATAAATATAGTGTTGAAATAAGAACTTGTATAATAAAGAGAATAGCATTTGTGCATAGTAATAAAGTCATATCTTCATATTTTAGAATTTATGTAAATATCGACATGTCTATTTTTTTAATTTTGCTTTATAATCATAATTCCTTTTTAAAATTTACAATATCTTGCGTCTTCCCTCTAAAATCGACATTTTCTCCTCACTTTACAGCTACACTTGAAAGTGCAAACGATCATTTTTAAAAGTAAAGTCTTGTTAGTTTAATTGATATTTCCTTGTTAAGCGGCTAGCGTGCTTAATCGCCAAAACTAAATAACTTAATTTACCAAACTGCAACGTGCAGATGTTTAATGTTGCCAGACCATACGCGGTAGCCCCTTTTAACAAGAAATTACAGTTTAATCACTGTATCTAAGCCTTTTAATTTTTTCCAGTTTTTTGAAGAAAGTTGTTTATTTGGTTATTTGAATATGGTCAAAGCACACAACGGCTATCTGCGTAAGGAAAGTGTAACCTTTGCGGAGGATTTTCTAAGCTAGCCTGGCTTGCATTTACATTACACTTCGAGAAAACCTCGAAACTATTCACGCAACCATCCTATTCGCCAGAATTCGAACATAGATCGAATTTAAATTATTCGGCTGAAAATTTTGTATAACTGTTCATACCTAATCCGTAGAAATTGTCATACTCAAATGGATATTTGTAATACTTTACTCCATGATCCATCATCCATTTCTCTCTTACTTGGCGTTCCTTATTAATAATTTCTTTGATTATCCTTTCCGCTCTTACTGGATTTTCTTTATAATCCATATTATGATAAAATTTTAGATCTAATTCTGAGTTTCCGGAATGATTTATTATTCATCTGACTGAAATTTTAAATGGATTTTATAAATATAACTAAGCAAAGTAATTTTGTTAACGCTTTTTTTTTTTAAACATACTTAACTGTGCACGAGAGCTTACTTAATAATAATGCATTTCGTTTATCGAGAGTAAAATCACGCTTATGATCTAATTCGCATGTTTATAAAGGTAAGCTACCTTGATGCCAATATATATTTAGTTTAGTCATAAATAATCAAAATATTAATTACTGCAGGGTTGAGTTTTAAATGATTTCTCTAATAATACAATTTTCTCACGATGCGGCTTGCCTGTAATTTTCGTGCGATCATCCGATACATATTAGGGCAGTTTCCAAAGAATTTTTAAAGGGGAAAATTAAGCTTTAATGCTACAACTGTAAAAACTGTTTTTATTGCTAATGTAGTAGGATTGCTTTCTCTGGGAAAACCAGTAATCCATGCACAAATACTGGATGTAAACAGATAACATTTTTATTTTCAGAAAATTCATTGTAAAAAATGCAACGGTAGTTTTTAATAGATAAACAGAAATAATCATTTAAAGAAAAATAGTCTACATTTGATAACATTATTCTGATCGAACTTAGATTAACTTCCTTTTCATTGATGTAACGTATGTAACTCCGCGACTCAATGAGCGCCACCTAGCGGCCGCCGGAATAAACACCAGCAAAAAAAAAAAAAAAAAAATACTCTAGTCTTTAGTCAATGTACGGGAGTCATGAAGTAAGCAAGCTGTTTCCCCGAGATTTATTTTGTAACATAAATGTATAATTATAACGCCCTTAATTGTAATGTTTTATCTTAATTGTGTTTTGTTAATTAAAGGTATTTAAATAAGTTTTTTTTTTTTTTTTTTTTTTATAGTAGTTTTGGTTATACTTAGAATTTTCTGCAATCGCATCAGTGCTCTCGTTTTACAGTAAGCCTGAATCACGAATCACTGCACATTTTCCTTTTAAATTAATTACACAGTTTTCATATATATATTCTACTACATTTAGAAAATTAATTTGGAATTTATATTTTGCCGTGTGTTAAGAATTTATTTTCCCACAGCCTTTTGGACGCTACTGTTCAACATATATGAACCTTGTAAATTTTTTCTTTTCATTTCGCACAACCACCAAATTTCTTTCACATTGGTAGAGAATAGAGCAAATTATTAAAAAGTATACAATTTTTTTTACATAAAAAATGGGAAATAGGTAGACACAAATAAGCTAAATAACATTAGCAAATCTAAAATTTCAGTTCTAGTATTTATTAAATGTTAGTAGTGTTATTAATCCAAACTTGTGTGGAGTGTAAAGTCGAAATTGACGGAAGGATTAGATTTAGGAAACATCTCACATGATAAGAGGTTTTGTTAAAAAGGTGTATTTATTTATTTAGTTTTTCTGTCATTCTTAGTATACAAATTACATTGAAAGTAATTTTGCGGTGAATGTACGATTTTTTTTTAATTTAATATTCTTTATATAAAACATTATGATGCATTTTGACAAGAGTTTACATTGTCTCAAAATAATTGCCTCTACTCTGTTCTCACGTTTTTCCCCTTGTACAGATACTATTTTCTTTATGTATGCATATATTCAAAAGTAGCGCACAAACTTAAAATAAGAATCAAATCCGGGGAAATGCAAACAAAACTCGAAAATACATTATTATAATCCAATATAAGTGATTGGTTTTAGAAATTTTTATCTGTCAATGATCTATCTGCCTAAGAGAAGATTTTGGTTTGGTTTATTGGTGTAGAAAACGTTTCAATGGGAACTAGCTGACTGGCTGATGGGAACTGGCTCCTGATGGAAACTGGCTCTTGTACACATTACAAATGAAAAAAAAAAAAAAAAAAAAAAAAGAAAACAACAACCATGCAGGCAGTTATATTGCCTGAATTCGAATCCAAATCAGATCGAACTGCCAGTATTCTGTCGTTTCAAGAAACGCGGATTTTTCGAATTATTCCGTACTATCATTTTGAAACTTGACATTCCAAAATTCACAGTTGTTCAGAAAACTCATTCTCATATATTACATATAAATTGCAAAATCCTGTGTTTCTTTAGAATTTTCAATTTTTTATGGTTACCGTTATTTCGTTTTCGCCTTTCTATGCCGTACGCGTATGCCTTTTTAGGAATATTTGAATAATAATAAATTAATACTAACAGTTCACTTAGACACTTTGCTCATGATCCATATCAAATTAGTATTTATTTCTCTGTAATTAATTTCCAAATACGAATATTGTGACATCTCAGAGGACTATAAACTGTGAATGATACCTGCTAAATGAATTCTTTCAACATCCTTAGGTACCCAAATCGAAGAATACAAAATTAATAACCTTTTGCATACGTCTCTTAAATCAGCCTTTACTGCTGATTTAATTTTAGCCATACACAGAAAGGAGAAGGAATAAAGTAATTGATCGACATCACCGATGCATGCAAGGGATGTGTGAGGAAAGAAATTGAAAGAGTAATTTGCCGGATGTAACTAATACCTATGAGGTTTATTTATAAAATAAGTGCCCGTTTAGTAACAAAAATGAAATAAGTATAATATTTTCAAAAAATCATTTGATTTCGAAATTTTTATTCAATTTTCTATTTTTCTACACAATTTCTTTCTTTTTTTTTTTTTTTTTTGTTCTAACATTTATTATAAAGAACGTCGAGTTTTAGAGTAAATTCCTCATAAAATTCTGATGTCGATGGATGATAGTTAGTTAACCGTGGTATTCTTCACTTCACCATTGGGATTTTATTTCTTCATTCCATTTGGACATGTCTGTTGTTTGCATGAATTTACGTCTCAACTATTTGCATGATATTGTCAATGCTTTCAGGTCGCTCAGCGCAGAGCGCGATTCTTCATAGAGGTTTTCTCGACTTCTTTGAGCAGTAAATCACTTTCGCACTAGACTGTTGCTAAATGCCCGGTTTTTGTACAGTTCGCATATTTAGGAATGAATCCTTGCTGAAAGGTCTGTAATGTATCCTATCCTTACGTCAACAAGGGACGAGATGATCGACACAATATATTGGCAGTTGTAATGAGTATGGGAGAAGACGGTTTCTACCGACTTACAACTGATGAACAAAATTTAAAATTTAAAACGAGATGACAATTCACTTTATGCTCTAAAAGTTGCTTAGAATTGAATATATTCCCCTGTGCACGAAATTCCTCTCCAGCAGTTGCAGTTGCTCAGTTAATTAAAGTGCCCAAGTATTCTCAAGTCTATGGGTAAAGCAAAGGGTCAAAATATGAAAATGTCTTTCTTGGAAAAAAGTAATGAAGTGTAATTCAAAATGTCTACCATGTCGAAGCATCTACCAATGTAAGTCTACCATGTCGAAGCATCTAGGTTAATTTTAATTTCTTATTTTTTATATGAAAATTGTGTTTCCTTTAATAAGAAAGGCATGAATTTGATTTTGTACGACTTTCATTTTTACTTCCTTATATGGAGTAAAAAGGAAGTATTGTAATCGCGAAAAATTTCGGGTGTCATATTTCAATGAAAATTTCCATTTCGACAGCTCTCGAATCCATTTAAAGGATGTTGTTGCGTGACATCTGTACTTAAGCATAGCATAAAGGACTCCTTTTCCACACACAAAAAAAGTTATAAAACTTATTTAAAATGAATTCTGAAGAGACTTTTTGTGGCGTCTGTACCGTACGTATGTATTTCGCCTAACTCAAACACGAGAAGCCTCAGAACGTTGAAATTTTGTATATAGGAATGTTATAACATGTAGATGTGCACCTCGTATTTTAGTTGCAATCGGTGGCACCAAACGTACATATATATATATATACTTTGTTACTTGGCTCAGTGAGCTTAGTTTTTTTTTATTCTTATATGTTTGTAAATTGTGCATTTTTTGCTTTAAAAATGATTGAATTACATTGCTTTATCTTCTGGTTAGGTTATTATGCCTTTATTTTACCTGCATGCAAAAATTGTGAAATTATCAACAATTTAAGAGTTTTTTAAGTACGACTGAGCCTAATTTCTGTTTAGCATGACAACCATATTTGTTTACATTTGATACTTAGCAGAATAGTGGATTTGTTGTCCATCTAGTGAAACTAAAGCTTGGCAACAACAAAGTAATGCCTTCTTTTATGATTTGGAATTAAATTATGCTTAATTCATTCTGGAATTATCATTTAAGTTATTAGCTTGTTTTTGCGCAGAAACTGTAGTTTTAATTGTAAATTTTTTTTAATTGTTTTAACTGTGCTTGTATTTTATGTTTTTCTATATCTTTCAATTCTTAATTAAAATATTTTGAATTTTTATGTATATTTGCCTTGCCGCGAAGTGAGAACTGAATTAGTTAGTAGCTCATGCGCATTAGGTAAGCGACGCTGAATCGTCTGCAAAAAACTGTTTCTTTTTTATCTGTTTAATTTCTTTTATACATTTTTTTTAGATTTATTATAGTATTTGAATAGAACTTGTGGTAATTCTTCAAATGATATAATTTTTGTGCACTCTGAGTTATGAAATGAAAGGGATGTAATGCTGTTAAGTGAACCTAGCGCCGAAGTGTTGCTATAGTAAATAAATATAGTGAACACTAAAGAGTGCATTTCTATTGTGTTTTATGCGCTATCCAGGAAGTAGATTTCATTCAAAATTCGTCAAATCAATATGTTTAACTGAAATGCAGGAAAATCACGTATAATTTAATATTCCTTACAAGGAAGTCATGTGATATACACATCAGATTTTTAATAATAATTCTGTATTGCTAATAATAATAGTCGAATAAAGACTTTAAAGGTTATAACCTTTTTTAAAGAGATATATAAATTTTTTGAATGTTGAAATGAATTGCACGTTTCCTTTTATTCACAAATATGTTTTGATTTTATACCAGACACCAGATACTTCACTTAACTTTCAATGTACTGACTTAAAGTAGCAAAAAGCATATTA